ACACACACGCATATACACACACACACACATACACACACACACACACATATACACACACATACACACAATGTTCTCAAGTGACCACCGAGGATTGTGCACCACCGTTCACTTTTGTCCCGGGTCTCTGGCTATTTCCTGGCATCCTGGAGCCGAGGTCAGGCTTTCAGCCTGGGCTGAAAACCCAGGTGGTGGGATTCTTTGGCACAAAAAGCCTTTGTAGCTGGAGATGATCCCGCTCAGCTGCAACTGCTGTCCCCTGTCTAACTCAAGGAATTCTCTTCCACAGCTGATATTTTGTCTTTTCCTCTCTCCTGGCATCAGTGCCTTTCCCACAGATGTGCTGCAATAGGATATGTGGCTGGATCGAGGCCATTACAACTGTGTAGGAAACCAGCAAAAGAGCAGCCACCTTCTCTGCCCTTTTCCCCAGGGACACAGAGATTTGGGACAAGAAGCTCTAATCTAGTCTTATAAGCAAGTTCTGTAAGACTCAGAGATGGAAACAAACTGAGGTATCTTTAAGTAGTCTTAAAACTGGCCTGAAATGGAATTTGAAGTGTGACTGAAATGATCATTTTAGAAAGCAGATTCTGCAGACACCGTGAGAGGGAGATTGATCTCGTTATTGACCTTTTAAATCAAATTTAGCCTTACAGGGCTGCTGCATTACATTTTATGCTCTTTTTTTTAGGCAGAGACACCAGCTGAAGGTGTTGGTTATGGCTGCAGTGTGTCAAGCACTGCACAGGAGAGTTTCCTCCCTCGCCTGCAGGTTGCACTCCACTTATGTGAGAAAAATGAGGTGAGTTCTCATCAGATTCCTGAGTCCTGGGACACAGAGCTTGGCACAAGCAGCCCTACCTAACCCTGACCCCAGGGTAAATCCTTTAACAGTTTAGCCATCACACAGAAATAAATGCTTTGTGAGCTCTGTGAGTGGTAACAACCAAGGCTTCTCCCTTCACCAGTGGTAAGAACTGCTTCTCTCAGACTGAAGCTCTGTTAATTATTGCCTCTCCTGGCTAGAGGGCTCCTACAATACCAGGAAGACTTGAAGTGGTGCTGCTCACCTCCTTTTAAATACTGCTTCAAACAGCCTGGAAGGAGAATATGCTGACACACTTTTTCCAGCGATTTTTTTTCCTAACTCAGCTCCAGCCGGCTGTGCCCTAAGACTTGGTTTTTACCCCTCACATCAGTGTCACAGGTACAACAAAACACATGTGCCCTGCTGGGAACCAGATTCAACATCAGAAGTGCTCAGCAGTTCAGCCAGACAGCATTTGGAGCCATCCAAATTCACAGAATATTCCGAGCTGGGAGGGATTGGGGGTTTAAAGGGAAGATTAAGATTTCCTGCAGCCTTTACAGCAGACCTTTTGGATTGAGAGACTGGGTTACTGATCTTCTTGCATCTCCAGACTTGAGGGTACTCGTGTGATAGGTAAGAACTGCAGTATTTTCTGCCACACAAACTTTACTAGAGGCTGCAGTCCACCAAAGAGTGACTCAGCTGTCAAAACTCTCCAAGCACGTGGAATACCTTAAATCTGCTCATTCAGCCCCCCCTGCTCTGTGCAAAAGAAAGGACTTGAAATAAGCAATAATCTCAACACAATCTTCAATTCATCTCCCCAATCATTTTCTCACTGCAGATACTTAAATCAGTTAAAGGAAGATGACAGCCTTTGTAGACAAGCTCAGACCTCAGGAACTTTCTACCTCTTTCACAATCTCTCCCCCTTCCTGCAGAAAGTTGGAAAGAAATATTTGGTACCACAGCTCAGTGCAGCAGGTAAGAAAGGAATCAGTGCATCCAGAAAGAAACACCTGGTGGATCACACAGCTGAAATGAAACAGAGACACACACATGGATCAACCTGATCTGTTCTGAAGTGATCAGGTTTAAACCTTTGGATCTGTACCTTTTGAAAACAGAGGGCTGAAAAGAAAACAAACAAGGACTTACTGACAAACGTCTTTTTGGTGTAATGTAGGAAAAATTTTATTTGAGAGAAAGGTATTGGCTGGTACAGGACAAAACCAATGGACAGCTGGTCCCTAAGTTTTACAACATTGGGACCGTTAGCCTGACATGGTCTAAACTCCCTACAGCTTAGGAGGAAAGCCAGGTTTTTAGGTTTCTACCTGTGTGGGATCACTTGTCTGGTCCCCTTTCACACATGAGTCAAGATTCCCTGTGCCTTGAAGATCCAGAGAGCACCAGAGATGGATCCAGAGAGCAAATCCAGAGATGGAGTTGCTTTCATCAGAGCTTTCTCCTCCCCTTTCCCTGCTGTTCAGAGATGAGACAGACTCTGGAGAAGCTGCAGGAGACCACGGGGTGGCTGGAGAAGTCGGTGCTGATCGGTTGTTCGGACGAGCACAGACCACGCTTCGCGCTGGATTTAGGTTGGGATGACTCCTCTTCCACCTGTGCCAGCACCAGTTTGATGCACTGGGATGGGGGAGATCCCTAATCCTTGGGAGAACCTGTCCTGCCAAGGAGGGCTGGGCTGGGTCTCTGTAGGGGCTGGTGTGAGTGTGGCAGGTCACGGCCATGGACTGCACTGCTGCTCCTGTGCCTGTGTGTGTTAGGAAAGGTGGGCTGGGGAAGGCCACTAACATTTGGGAATGCTACCCCTGATGTGGTTCACTTCCATGGGAACTCCCAGGAACTGTATATTGGAACAGTAAAGGGTATAAAATTGGAATAATAGCAATAATAGCTGCAATTTATGAGATCAAATTTTCGTTGTTTTTTTTTTTTTTCCCTTGAACAGGAGCCTTGGATAAATCAGTCCTTGAGTCAGAACTGCAGGGATCATTTACTGACCTACGAAAGGCTCTCTTTGTAGTGGATGAGAAGGATTCTCCTTTGCTGGCTTCGGTATTGCACAGGGCTTTTTACAGCTGTGATCTCTAACATCAACCCTTCTCTTCATATCCCACATTGTTTTACGATCTAATATTGTAGAAGTACCTACTGTACACTTTCAGGAACTTAGATACAGACACACTATAAATTACATTCGTTTTCCCAAATTTGTAGTCCCAAAAGGAAGATGCAAGGGAAAGAGAAACAGAAAAGTGACTTTAAAATGACTGCAGTAATTTATGCCATTTAGCTGAAATGTGCTAAATCACAGCAATCCCAGTTTGTCCTCAGCTCAACAACTATCAGCCAAACTGGGAATCAAACAAACTTACACATCTTCTCTCAGAGCTGCTCTTTTAAAACCTCTCCCTTACAAGGTGGTGCTCTGCAGACGCCCTGTGTTTGGAGGGCCTAAGAAAAGGCCTGTGTGTGAAAATCAGCTATCCTGACCCTATTTCTCCTGAGGAGAAATAGCTCATGTTTCCTTTCCTGCTCTATAATGTTTGTGATGCCTGAGCTATTTTTCAAGAAAATATTCAGGGCTGGAGACTCTTTAGAATAGTCCAGATCCCAATAAAACTCCCATTATGTCCCAATAAACAATAGCTCTTGCCCACCTCCTCCAAACATACTCAAATTTAGAAGCAGCAAGCATGGATTGCAGAATCTGCCACATTTCAAAGCACTGCCCATACTTTATTCACCTTTCTGAGGCTTCTAAAGATAATCAGAATTTATCCCCACGACTGCACGCAAAGCATTATTCAGGGAGACTGCTCTGAATTATTTCTTGCTCCTATGTGTTTATATTTATGTTTATATTTATATTTATATTTATATTTATATTTATATTTATATTTATATTTATATTTATATTTAGTTTGTGCTTCTGTGTTGGCAGGCCCAGTCCCTCCTGCGGTGGCACGATTCCCACCAGTACTGCAGCAAAACTGGGCAGCCCACTGAGAAGAACCCAGCTGGCAGCAAACGTGTCTGCCATGCCAGTGGAGTCACCTACTACCCACAGGTGAGCACCTGGCAGCACAGGGGAGGGACACAGGGACAGGAGCACTGCTGGCTCACCCCAGGGGGGAAGCAGGAAAAGGGATTTGTGCCTAGCTGGGTGCTTTTAGTGGTCAGCCAGCAACCCTCAACCAGCTGGGAAAAGCAAAAATTTGCACTTACTTGTTTTGTCTGAAGGCCTTGTTTTGCTTTGTGGTGCACGTGGCAGATATCTCCAGTGGTCATCACGCTGGTGTCCGACGGGAGCCGGTGCCTCCTGGCCCGCCAGCCCTCGTTTCCCCCGGGGATGTTCACAGCTCTGTCAGGCTTCTGTGACATGGGTAAGTGGCTTCTGATCCAGCACAGTGGCCCTGGGCATGCAGGGTGTGGGGACATCTGTTGGAATAAATCACACGGGACTCCATTTTCTTCACGGAGGGAAAAGCCCATTCTTTATTACATAACTCCTTTTTATACAGTTTTACAGACCTCCTGTGTGACTCCAATTGATCAGCAGCTTTCTTGCCATTTACTTTATTGGCTATTAACAAGTTGTTATTCTGTATTGATTGGTCACTCAAACCCCCAGTGTGTACGTGCAGGAAAGCTGTTTGTGAGAGGTAGTTTTCATTTTTCTATCTAACAGTGCAAAAACAGTTTATACAAGTGCAAGTTGTTTTTTTTACCCAGGAATAGATTGTTATGCTAACAAACTGTTCACACCAGGATTGCTTTCATATGGGAACTTGCAAAGTGCTGGCTTTGACAAGGCCAGCCAGCAACCCCAGGATAGGAGCCTTGATTCTACGAAGCCTTTCTTTATGATTTTTCTACCTTACTGCAACAGACATCAGCCAAATCCCTGTTCACAAAGAAGGATGGACACACAGGTGATCTGTGTCCCCATCCCCAGATGTGTTCAGGGCCAAGCTGGGTAAGCCATTGAGCAGCCTGGTGTAGCAGAAGGTGTCCATGCTGATGGCAAGGGGTTGGAACTAAATGATCCTTAAAGTCCCTTCAGACCCAAACCAGTCTGTAATTCTGTGACAGGTGGGGAAAAAAACCATTATGTCTAAATAGATCAGTGTTTGCATGCAGACAGAATTAAAAATACAGTTATGTACCTGAAGGGATTGGGAATTATAGGTGTCTATCAGTTGTTGTAGTCCCTGATAGCAGACATAAACTTTAAACCTGCTAGGTTATAACCCCTGATCCTTTAAAAATCCATTTTGTGTCTCATACCATCTGGCTCAGAAGAAGAACTACAGACTTTTCATTACAGGAGAGAAAATGCCTTAAAATTGAATTGTTCTGTCCACTATCTGTATATAGATGGCGCCAAAAATGTCTCTGGTGCCTGTGTTTATCAGAAGTTGATGGATTTAACAGAGTATTGCCACCAGCAAGTGTTTCCAAGTCAGCACAGCTGGAGCTCCTGCGGGTGGGAATGAGCATGTCCTGCATTTTCCTCGCCGCGGTTCGCTGCCCTGAGGCTGGGCCATCCTTGCCTAACTCTGACTGGTTCTAGGGGAGAACGTGGAGGAGGCAGTGCGGCGAGAAGTGGCCGAAGAGGTGGGGCTGGAGGTGGAGTCGCTCCGCTACTCGGCTTCCCAGCACTGGCCCTTCCCCAGGAGCTCCTTAATGATAGCCTGCCATGCCCTGGTGGGAGCCCAGCGGGCTGAGGTGAGCGCCTCGGGCTCCCCTGAGCTATTCCACTGCCTGCCTCAGGCAGCAAAATCTCCTTTGGTCCACAGAATTTAGTTAGGAGAGCATCAAACCCTCCGTAAATGCAATTTTCCTTTGGCTTTTTCTGCAAGTACAGAAGAAACTTTGACACAATCCCGTCATCTTCTGTTGAAAGGTGCCAGATTTCCCTCAGGTATATACAAGCTCAGAGTCCAACACCCCTGGATTTTTCCCTCTGAACTTTGCAGAGAAGGTTCCCTCACACATTTGCCATAGAACACTCAGATTCCACCATGTTAATTACTGTGCTCAGCCACTTTGCTTTGCCACGATGGAGCAGGGTTGGTTTGTGGCTTCCCTAAGGAAGCCAGCACAACAATGTAATATCCTTCCCTGGGCTAGCATCAGTGCCTAATTCAGGCATGGATGTAGCACTCTGGGCATTTCAGCATGGGATCTCTGTGGAGGCGAGGTACCACTGCCCACATTCAAAGCTGATTAAAGGAAGTGGTGCCCTCTGAATTCTTTCCAGATCAGTGTGGACACCCTGGAACTGGAGGAAGCCCGTTGGTTTGGCCTGGTGGAGATTGTGGAGGGTCTCAAGAGGGCACCCAGCTCTTCAAAGCAAGACGACGGTAGTTTTTTACCCTGGTTCCCTCCAAAACAGGCCATTGCTCACCAGCTGATCTGTGAGTGGCTGCAGCAGCAGACTGCCCAGACAGCTTAGGCAGGGCTTCATCAACTCTGTGATTCCACTAGAACTGTCAAAGCTCCATAGAAAAGCTTCCAAAGCCCCTGGAGGCAAGGGCTCAGTCACAGTGAGGGCAGCACCACGTTGATGGCACTCAACACACTGACCTACAAAGGTCTCTGAACTGGTCTGACAGGCCCATGCACAGTGGATCACCTCTGAGATCCCATGGTTTGAAGTAAATGTACAATAAAATTCTTTGTTCCAAAGCATCAAATTGTTGTGACCAGCTGTCATTGACCCCATGGCACCAATGTCCCATTTCCATTTCTTCTGTCTTTGGTGGACATCCAATGCACTCTTTTTCCCAGAACAAAAATAAAGGGAGAGTGGCACTTTCCAGTGTCTGTGTTTATATGGATTTGGGAGAGCTGTCAAAAACCAGAAGAAAAGCCATTGCCTCTTTGCTCTCCTCTTCTTCTCTCTCTTCCCATTCAATCTTCCGTTTTCATATAAAATACCCAAATTTTGGGGTTTTTTTTTGTAAATGTTAAGTGGGCCTCTTAATTTTCTCCACTGGTAAGACAGTCCCAAGAAAGAGAGAACAGAGCTATCTGGTGGTGGAGAGGGGAAGAGCAAGACCAGCACATAAGCATTTTAGAAGACCACAGCTAATGCAAAGGTGACAGAAACTGCTACGACAGGAACTGCACTTAGAACAGAGAAAAATCTTGAAAGGATCAGTGCCTCTTCCCCTAAGGCCAAAGTCTGTGCCTTGCTTGGAGAGCTGGTCTGATTTTACTGATGAAATGGTTCCACCTCTCTGGAGGAAGAACAACAAGGGAACCATCTGGGCAAGGAAAGCTTAGTGAAAGAGACAGCTGAAAGGATGTTTGATCTGCTGCTGACTCAGGCTGACAGTCCTTTCTGCCTGCTTGGTCAGAGCTCAGATGCCAAGACTGCAAAGCCAGGTGCTTGAAGGGGGACAGGGATGTGTCCCTGGCTGCCACAAATGCAGGAGAGCAGTGGTAAAAATCTGCAGTCCTGACGCCTGAGAAGCAAGTAAAAAAGTAAGTCTTTCACACCTTTGAGACACACTGTGTTTGCTTGGGTTACTTTTATTTTAGGAGGTTGAGAGGGAATTCCTTCAGGTCATGGTGGCATGTACAAACACCCTTCCTGGTGTTTTAGTTACCAGTAAGAGAAAAAGTATTTTCAATCTACTCAAATAGGGAATTTTTTAATAGAGCTAGAACAACTACAAGATAAAAATCACATCACATTTTTGGAGAAGCATTACATTTCAAACTGTTTTATAAAATCCTCAATCCAGACTGTTATGTGTAGTAGATATAATTTGTGCCGTTTCTAATATGATATATGTGATATTGAATATTTGTTAGAGTATAGACATTTGTATTAGGATTCCCCCCACCCTCACAGGTGAGACTGGGTGTATATTGGAAACTGATTTACAAGTAAGAAGGTACTGCTCCCCAGGAGATGGGCCATGGCTGGGGAGATACAGGAACCCCAGGTGCTGATCCTTGCCTGAAGGACCCGAGATGGATCTCATGGAAATCCTCGGTCAGATCCATGTGAATGCAGCGTTCCCGAATTCCCATAAATTTCATCAAGGGGTTCAAAAAACTCCAGACACTGAATTGTTCTCCCTCATCACCAAAAAAAGAGAATCTTATTAACATATCAACTCTGAATAGAAGAAAAGACTGATTGCTGAAATCTTGGCCTCAGGCAGAATTTTCCCTATAAAAACCACTTGTGCTAGGATAGAGGTGTGTGGGCATAGAGGAAAACCTCTGCTGAGGCTGACCTCTTTGTTGCACACCCAGGGCTGACCCTGGGCTCAGCTCTGTTCTGTCCTTGTGGCTGGCTAGATAGAATTTGATTGCAAAATAAATATTTTATTTTATCATATTAATTTGGCTGGACAAATTTTCATTTATAACACAGACCCTTTTGACTTAGTTATGAAACAACATTGGTGGCCTCCATTACTGATGTTAAACTACCAGGAGTGATGATGGGCAGTACCCAGCCCTGAGCAGGTCAGAAAAACAAGGTGAGGGACATTGTCCTCACTTGCATTTTCCTGAGAAATCTGTTTGAAGCCTGAAGAACACTCACTGCAAATCAAGACAGGACATGCTCCATAAAGGCAAGTGACCTAGAAAAAGGAACAGGCAATTCCTGACAGCGGCTTCCTCACCAAAACACAGCAGAGCTTTCCCATGGAAAAGGTACCAGACAGGCAGAAGAACACAGAGCAACAACATATTTCTCTCAAGAATGCATCCCTTAACTGAATCCTCTTTGGGAACACTTGGCTTGTATAAATCACTGAGACCCCTCTGCTTTTAGGGATTTACAGAAAGACCCAGCATTGACAAGCTGCCAGCTGGGGCATTACGGCCCAATTGCCCCAATTGCTCATAGGTATTACTAATCAGCAGGATATAGAATACTAGCACTCATCTGATTAATCAGATGATTAATCAGATGTAACTTTTTGGTTAGCAACTTGAGAGCAGCATTCCACCTACCTCCCAAAAGTAGCAGGGCATAAAACTCACGTTGATCTATAACAGGTGCCAGCATACAACTGAAGTAAGCAAACCTCATGACACAAGTTGTTTGATCTCTGAGTGCTCATGATGCCTTGAGAAGGCTGACCTAGAACAGAGGCTGTACAGAGTTAAAGAATAAAGTAGGGATTTATTAAAAGGATCTCCTCAATGGATACACCATGGGCAGCAAACAGCCCACTCAGGACCACAGGCCCTGTACCAAGAACCCTGGCCTTTTTCCCTGTGAAACAAACCTCGCCACCCCAGGTTCCTGATGTCAGTTTGCAGGATGTACTTGGAATTGTCAGGGCAGCCCATGTCTAAGGTGGTGGCAGGTAGGGTCTGGGACACATCCTTCACCGTTCGGATTTTTCAAAATTGGTCCCCACTCAGGGCAACAGCCTTTGACCTAGAAGGCCAGCCATTTTCCCTGTGAAACAAAGCTGAGCAGCCCATGTTCCTCAGGTCAGTTAGCAGGGTGCCCTTGGGACTGTCAGGGCAGCAGAAGTTCCAGGTGGTGGCAGGTTGGGTCTGGGACACATCCTTCACCTTCCAGAATTCTAGGAGCCAACCACCCCTTCAGGGCCACAGTCCCCTGAACACAAACACCAGCCCTTTGCCCTGTGAAAGAAAAACTCATCACCCCTGGTTCCTGATGTCAGTTTGCAGGGTGTGCTTGGGACTGTCAGGGCAGCACAAGTTTGAGGTGGGGACAGGTTGGGTTTGGGGCATATCCTGCGCCGTTCGGAATTTCAGGAGACGGCCTCACACTCAGTGCCACAGGCCCTTGAACACAAACGCTGGCATATTTGCCTGTGAAAGAAAACTTGGCACTCCAGGTTCCTGATGTCAGTTTGTAGGGTGTGCTTGGGGACAGTTTGCAGGGACTGTCAGGGCAACACTGGCTTGAGGTGGTGGCAGGTTGGTTCTTGGAAACACCCATCACTGTTCAGAATTTACGGAGTTGGCTGCCCACTTAGGGCCACAGGATCCTGAACACAAACACCAGCCCTTTTCCCTCTGAAAGGAGACTCGCCAGCCCAGGTTCCTGATGTCAGTTTGCAGGGTGTGCTTGGGACTGTCAGGGCAGCACAAGTTTGAGGTGGGGACAGGTTAGGTCTGGGACACATCCTGCGCCATTCAGATTTTTTGGAGTTGGCTGCCCACTCAGGGCCACAGGATCCTGAACACAAGCAGCAGCCCTTTTCCCTTGAAAGAAAACTCGCCAGCCCAGGTTCCTCATGTCAGTTTGCAGGATGCTCTTGGGACTGTCAGGGCAGCACAAGTTCCTTGTGATGGCAGGTTCGGTCTGGGACACGTTCTGTGCCATCCGGAATTCTCAGGAGGTGGCCGCCCACTCAGGGCCAGAGGCCCATGAACAAAAACACTGGCCCTTTTCCCTCTGAAAACAAATTGGCCACGCCAGGTTCCTGATGTCAGTTTGCAGGGTGCGCTTGGGACTCTCAGGGCAGCACAAGTTTGAGGTGGTGGCAGGTTGGGTCTGGGACACATCCTGAGCTGTTCGGATTTTGTGGATTCAAAACACACTCGGAACCACAGGCCCCTGAGCACGAACGCTGACACTTTTCCCTTGAAAGAAACCTTGCCACCCGAGACCAATTAGACAATCCAATCTAATGTAAAAATTCTATTGATGTTCATCACAAATATCACCAAATATCGAGAACACTGCAATTACATGATTACCATGCTGCAGGAGGCCTCCAAGCAGCACATCTCCCACCAGCCCATCTCCATTTACATACAAGTCCCTTCCCTGGCAGGCTCCCTCAGCAGCTGTGACTGCAGAGCCCTGGCAGCCCGCCCTGAGTGCCGTGGATCCGGCCAGGTTCCTCCCCACCGCCTGGGGCTCGCTGCCAGCGATCTCCTGAGCCTGAGCCCACACAAGGCTCCCTCAGGCACATCCTGCCCGCTCCATTACTGCTTCCCCGGGCATGGATTGGGCAAAATGGCCAAAGCCCTCCCACGCACATCAGCTCAAAAGGGCAATGCGAGTAGTGCCTCCGATCAGTCTGAGCGGTGAGGCCGGCGTGCTCGTACCCGAGCGGAATGGCAGTGGCAGAGCTCGGAGGCGGCTCCAGCCCAGGAGCAACCCGCGGTCGGGTTGAGCCTGTTATAAATGAAAATTTGTCCAGCCAAATTAAAATGAAAAAATAAAGTATTTAATTTGCAATAAATTCTATCTGTTATAAATGAGAATTTATTCAGCCAGATTAGAAATAAAAATAATTTTATTAGCGGTCAAATTCTATCTAGCCAGCCACAAGGAAAGAACAGAGCCAAGCCTGGGGTCGGCCCTGGGTGTGCAACAAAGAGGTCAGCCTCAGCAGAGGTTTTTCTCTATGCCCACACATATCCATCCTGGCACAAGCGGTTTTTATAGGAAAAATTCCGCCTGAGGCTAAGATTTCAGCAATTAGTGTTTTCTTCTATTCAGAGTCCATAGGTTAACAAGATTTTCTTTTTTTGGTGATGAGCAGAAATAATTCAATGTCCGGGTAGGTGAATCCCTGATGAGAGTTTACGGGAAGACTACATTCACATGTATCTGTCTGAGGATTTCCATGATATCCATCTCGGGCCATTCATGCGATGATCAGCACCAATGATCAACACCTGGAGCCCAGATATGGCCCATCTCTTGGCCAAGCCACATCCTTTTACTTGTAAATCAGTTTCCAATATGTACGCTGTCTCGTCTGCAAAGGGGGAGGAACTAATACAAACGGGCATAATCTAACATCTAATATTACATATTTCATACAAGGCATGGCGCAAATTATATT